ATAGATAAGAGCCCAGGAGGAGTTTGTCAAAAAGCCATTGCATTGGAGATTGTTGACCACTCTGAAAAATATGTGACTTATGTCTCTAGAGATACAAAGTGAATGTGTTATTAACAGTATGACTTATGGAAGCAAATTTTCAACACAAATTTAAAGAAAAATGTGGTCTTTAAAAGGCCAAACTCCTTCTGTATACCAATTTTCCAAGATAAATCCAGCCTTACATAGGAATAGTTGGATGTCTTATTATCCATTCAATACATTTTAATATGAAAAGCCTACATTATTGTTTTTATTTATTATTCATAGAGTGCAAGAGAATGTGGCAGTGTACAACACAAATAATACAGGCACACTCTCTGCCTCTGGGAATTTATAATCGAAGACAGGTGTAAATAGGATTACCCCCAGCCCCAAACCAGGCGACATGGTCTGTCTTTCCCATACTAAAACGAGATACAACTAGGATAAAGGAGACTCTCCCTGCTAAGGTCTGACCTTGTTTGACATCACTCATGTAACCACTGAATTGTTTGGTCTTGTTATCCATTTAAGTCCACGCAAAGTTAGGCTCAAAGTACAAGTAGAAGGTGTCCTCAACTCCAAGGTTAGAAAAGGAAGAAAAGTACTATCCTTACAAAACAATGAGTCCTCCTCACTAAAAGTAGAAAAGAGTTAGGTTTTTGGTTTTTTTTCCCCCCACCAGTAAGGGGATCACAACCCTCGGCACGGTGTGGTCTGCACCACACTCAGCCAGTGAGCGCACCGGCCATCCCTATATAGGATCCAAACCCATGGCCACGGCGCTACCAGCACTGCACTCTCCTGAGTGAGCCACGGGGCTGGCCCAAAAGGAGTTAGTTTAAATAATTAAAGGAAAATAAAACTTCTCCACCTTCAGAGACAAAAGTGAAATAAATGTCTCTAACCTAATAATTGAACATTTCTGTAAATTTTTTTTTACCCCAGGAAATAGCTTCTAAAACTATGCCTAGCACGCAACATGTGCTCAAGAAATACTCATTTTTATTTCCATAAACTATCTTTATCCATTTTAAAATAGGCTGCTTTTTCTGCTACTTCAGAGAAATAATAATAATATAATATAATAATAATAATTCAGAGAGCTAGATTAATGGTTTAAAATCATAAGGATCCCTCCCATTTGGAGTGAGGCCCGGAAGATAGAATTAGCAACCCCATCCTCTGGCCTGGAAGATGGAATTAGCAACCCCATCATCTGTCTTCCACTCCAGCATGGTTTGGGGCACTTAGTAGGTGGCTCAGTAATTAATGATGGAGATCCACACTTCCACCTATGCTAGTGTGTAGCAAAATTTATGTTACATTCAGGATTTTTCTATAAACTATACTCCCATGGAATGTAGTAACCTCCCTCTCATTCTAGTGAAGGAGAATTTGAGGTAGAAGAGGCAGGGAATGCATTTTCCTGAACAGAAAACTGAGAGCAGCCAGTGTTTCCTATGAAAATAAGAAAAGACCCATGAATTATTTCATTATTTCATCCTAAGTTGTTGGTTTTTTTTAAATAAAGAATTGCCATGTTTTGGCTTATTTACTTATTTAAAAATATTGAATTGATAAATAAGGATTGTATATACTCAAGGTGTACAATGTGATTTGATATATGTATGTATATATATGTATATACTGTAATGATTACTACAGGCAAATTAATTAGCACATCCATCAGCACCCATGCTGGACATTAGACCTGAAGAAACTGTTCATCTTACAATGGAAAGTTTTGTACCCCTTGACCAATATCTCCCCATTTCTCTCACCCCCTCCCCCCCCCAGCTCCTTGGAGCAGCACCCTGACTCAGTAGTCTGAAACTATATGTTGAATGTAACAGAAGATATTTAAACAGGCATTATTGAAATGAAGTTCAAAATTAGGGCTAAAACCCAAAAGCAAAATAAAACTGGCGGAGATTTGCCAGGCTATGAATGCAAGTGACCTCACACCCCATATTTCCTTTTCAGATGACTTGCTATTTTTTAGTATCCTCTTTCTTTAAACCCAGTAACTAATTTGGTGACTTTCATTTGGAATCTGAGAAATCACTGGCCTTGAAACATAAAAGCAAATCATTGAGCTGAATTGAACTGAATTAAAAACCAACAAAAATATTTTTTGAGGGGACTTCTATGTCCTATGTATCTAGTGTGTGCATGCTGTATAAGTCCCTGTGTTACCTTTGAATACAGAGTGAGGTTAACCAACAGACTAACCAGTTTCACACTATGGAAGGGAGAATAAGATTGTCTAGCTGGGACCAAGAAGCCCTCTGTAAGAGAATAGACTTAAATAAACTTTAAAAATGTCACATGGAAGAAAAAGACAGATATAAGGTATAATCTTGGGAGATTTCACAGATTCACTGATCCCCAGGACGGTTCTTGTGGCCTATGGCACATTTTATCAAGAAAAGGGAATGGGTAAAAGAATTGCAGGTAAAAGTAGGAAAGCGTTTGTTCAGTGAGGAAAATTTGAAAGTTCTTATGACAGGTCTTCAGAGCCAGACTGTGTGAAGTCTGGTGAATAATGAAAAGTAGACCTTTCACCCAAAAAGAGATTGTCTTAGATTACATTATCAGGAAACACAGGAAGAGTCACCTGTGTAAACGTTTGTGTGTGTTTATTGAGCTCTAACCTAGGTTACCAGTTGCACATATTAATCAAATAACACTACTCTTCCGTCCACTTTTCTATTATCTGTCCTACTTTGTGCCAATTTCCTTTCTCCTCCTCAACACCTCTTGTTTCACTGTTCTTCTTTAAGACATGGGATGGGGATTTGTCAAAGTCAATGAGCACTTTATTACAGTGAGAACGTTCCGTAATGAACAATTCAGCAATTTAATGAGATTCTGTAGATCTGTCTCCAGCCTGTCCATCAAGTTTCACTTCTATAAAGCGCCCTGACACTAATCCTCTGGCATACCCAATCTTCACCCTGGGCTGAATATTAGATTCTTCCATGGTATATTGCGTTACTAGTATAACCTCAGCAAAAATGATGAACTTAACTGTACTGGAGGCAATAGACCTGGTCTGATTTGATTTTTCTCTATTGGGTTGAGTATGAGGGAATTACTTATTTACTAAGACAAAGCAAAAATAGTTTCTTATTGCCTGCTGAATGCCTAAATTGATAATATTTATGTGAGTCTTTTAATTCTTTCTTGAGTGCCAGGTATAAAAAAATTATTGCCTGCATTAGAAACCAGTTTTTAACATTCTACATTATAATATTAGTAACCTTTAAAGAGGCAATTATGATAACTCTTAAGTGGACAGTATGGAATTTTTTCAACACTCAGACATCTGCACATTACTATGTTGATCTCTGGCAGTGCCCTCAATCATGCCACTAAAGGAGACAGAAGCCACAAGGACGGCTGGCCTCAGATCTCAATTCAGTTAGAAAAATTTAATGCAGAATTCATTCCAAGTCTTTCTCTTTCCCTTGGGAAGTGAAGAAAATTTGGCTACTTCCCACTTCAAATTGACCAAAATAAATTCTGTTGACTTATGTTTATAGGGGAACGCTTCAAATAATCGAAATACCTACCAAGATCACATTCTCACCAACACTTTCAACCTCTCTCTGAAGAAACATATCAGAAGCAGCAAAAATTTATGACTTAGATTTTTGGGGTTTTTTTTGCCCTTATATTTCCCTTGTCAAGAGAGTGTGACATAGTGAAGACATGGGGGCAGGTGTCAGCCAACTTGAATTTGAAGGCCGGCTCTGCTTTATAACTCTGAACAAGGCACTGAAGCCTCCTCTGGTTCATGTGGAAGAGGGGGGTGATAACAGCCATTCTTCAGGCCTGCTGTCAATAAGTTTACAAAGAGCCTGGGACCCAGAAGGCCCTCAGTATGCTGCAGCTTTTGATTCCCACTGATAGAAGCAATACGAAGAGGGAAGTTGCTGATTAAAGTAATACAAAGAAAGAAACCAGGGAGAAAGGCATCAGGAAAATCATCAGTCAGTACAGTCAGATGCTGGATAATTAACAGCTACCTATGAGTCTGTCTGGGCCAGAATTAAAGTACTCCCTGAATATCATTTGATAAGATGCCAGGGATTCACTGTCTCATCAGCTAATAGAAGACTCGAAATTTTTCTTTGATTTCTGTGTATAACTATATTTCAAATGATGGTGAAATCTTGAAGGCGTGGTGCACCAGAAGTAACAGAATGGCTAGCCAGTGCTTCAGAGAGTAATATAGACAGTGTCAGAAGAAGGGGGAAGGTGGGCTCTGACTGTTTCCGAAAGACACCATGTGGATTGTTCAAGGAAGTCACTGCAGATGAGCAGAAGAGGATTTAAATTGAATAATCAACTTCAAAACACAAAACATCCTCCTGTCCCCTAGACAAAGGAGCGACACAATGTGAAAAGAATGCTATGTCAGGCGAAAAGGCAAGGCTTAGGAAAATAACAATGAATGCAGAATGAACTAAGGAGGGAGATTTTCCCACTGCAATTGCAAAAAGAGCTTCATTTCATTTATAGTCCAAGCTGCTCTCTATTGCAACGAAGAAACGTTTCTCAATTATTTACAGGAAAGCCCAGAATTAATCCCAATTCCACTGGGTTTTAGTATGCATAAACATCGCTTCACAATCCATTTTTCTCATAGTCAGTTTAAGAAACAACTTTCATCAGGGGAAAAAAATCCCTTGACTCTTTCTGACGCCACCATGCTAGGTTCTGGGAGCCACAGTGAGGGGCTCAAGAATCTCACCTGCATTCCCTGATTAGGCTGCAGAGTCTGCTGAGGCTCTGAGCCTCAAGGGCTGGCTCTCCAATCACTGGCCCATCAAGGAAGCATGTCTGCTAAAAGTTCAAGCCCAATGAGGACCAAACCAGATAAAACAGTGACCCTTGTTCCTCGTCCTTCAACTTCCATTCATGTCATGCCTTCTCAACGCCAACAGAGGACCCGTGCAGAGCGCCCTTACCTGCCAGATCTGCTCTTCGCTCAGGGAGGTCAGGCGGTCACTCTTCAGGACCTCCTGCAGCAGGCAGTAAGGCAGCGTCAGGACGTCTTCCGGGCGGCTCTTCAGGAGCTCCGAGAGATGTTTCACTAAGAAATCGATCACTGCCTTCTCCAACAAAGTGAGGTTAAAGAGATCCGCAAGTCTGTACAGATCCAAATAATTAAAGCTATTTAATTCCTGGGTGCCAAAAACATAAAAATGGAAAAAAGATCTCTTAGAAATCAACCCAAGAAAGAGCACGCAAGAAATTCAGAGTGACTCACAAAGGTTTTCATGACAGGGGTGGAAGAAATGGGACTGTTACTGTAAAATATTTCAATTATAAGATTCTGCATAGAGAAGTGCCTCTCTAGAATTCATAATTTGTTCTCACTTTACCCCTTTAAAACCCGTACAGTTAGGGCCGGCCCTGTGGCTCACTCGGGAGAGTGCGGTGCTGATAACACCAAGGCCAAGAGTTCGGATCCCACATAGGGATGGCCGGTTCGCTCACTGGGCGAGCGTGGTGCTGACAACACCAAGTCAAGGGTTAAGATCCCCTTACCGGTCATCTTTTAAAATAAATAAATAAATAAATAAAACCCGTACACTTAGAAGTATCTTAATAAAGGAAGTAAATGGGGTTTCTCGTTTCACTGGCTGAAATTTTACTTTGCAACTTTTTATTTATTTTTTATTTATTTATTTTTATTTTTTGAGACTGGCCGCACCGCGCTCAGCCAGTGAGCGCTGTGAGCAAACCAGTTATCCCTATATAGGATCCGAACCCACGGCGGGAACGCAGCGATCCCAGCGCTGCACTCTCCTGAGTGTGCCACGGGCTGGGCCCAACTTTGCAACTTTTTAGAAACATTTTACCAATGAAGACAATTAATTTTTCTAACCTTACCATGTTTCACAGCTTTTTTTTTTTTTTCTACTAAAGATAATGCAAGGGCAGGTAAACTGGGATTCATTCCTAGAAATTCTTTTCAAAGAGTTTCTGTAGCAATGCTTCAATTTTGGGAGAGTTTTCCTTGCTTTGCAAGCTTTAAACTGACAGCCAGGCTCTACAGTAAAGCCTCCAGAGAGCCATGGCTTCCACAGAGCCTTCATCACTATAACTGCAAGAATCAGAGTGGGCACGTGCTTGTCAACGGAAAACTTACCTACTCCAAGTAGAAGGAGAGTGGGTCATGTCCCATCTTCTTCTCATTTTTAACTTGCAATTATTTATATATGAGCAATATTTTCTAGTAACTTATAAAATGCAAACTGCCAGCAGATAGCTATTTCACTCTATTGACCTGTTTAAGTAATTTTCCACATACTTTCTTTCCCCCTTTTCTAGTTGCCTAAGAGTATTAAGAACTCTTTCTTAAAATATTTTTATTCTATTTTAATGTGTTTGCTTCTATAATATTTAAGAGTTTAAATGAACATGTTCTAAGGCTGTGCTGCCCAACACAGTAGCCACTAGCTGATATAGCTGTCATGCATTTAAAATGTGGCTGGTGTGAACTGAGATGTGCTGTCAGTATAAAATACACACCAAGTGCAAGGAGTTAAAAAAATAACAAAAAACAATAATTTTATATTGACTACATGTTGAAATTATATTCTTCTGGATATACTGGGTTAAATATGTTATAATTAATTTCACTGGTTTCTTTTTTTTTCGTGACCGGTAGGGGGATCGCAACCCTTGGCGTGGCATCGCCCACACCGCGCTCAGCCAGTGAGCGCACCAGCCGATCCTATATAGGATCCGAACCCGCGGAGGGAGCACCGCTGCGCTCCCAGCGCTGCACTCTCCGGAGTGCGCCACTGGCTCAGCCCTCACTGGTTTCTTTTTTTAATTTTTGTAATACATTTTATTTTTATAGCCGTTTTGGGTTTACAGAAAAACTGAGTAGAAAGTACAGACAGTTTACATACCCCACCCCAATTTCTCCTATCATTGACATCTTACATTAGTGTGGTACATTTGTCACAATTATGAACCTTGTGAACCAATATTGATACTCTTTTTACTTTTTTTCAATGCAGATAGATACTGAAAATTTTTTAATTACATGGTGGTTCCAATTATATTTCTATTGGACAGTGCTGTTTTAAATAATAAAATATATAATAAAGAAATTGTAAAACAGCTCTCACAGTATTAGCTGCATCATCACTATGGCTCCACACATCAGTGCAAGGATAGACGCTGAACTCAGGAAAAATTAAATTTTTCTACTTTAGATTCTATTTCTTTCAGTGGGAGATGACTCTTCACTTATATTTCTCACAGGAGTCAAGCTAAAATAAGACTCTGGCTCTTAATCGCTCTATTTGCCAACACAACTGAAAAGGAATAAAATGAAGTTTACCACAGATGACCACTATAATCCATTGCAACTCAGATATCTAAGGGTCCTCTCCTAGCTATTCAATAAAATATCCTGGCTTCCCATTCAGCAGATTGTATCAAAGGAATATTAAAGATTTTGAGAGCAGCACCAATTTTTCAAGTAATGTTTAAATTTTTCTCCAAATCTTACTTAGGATTGGTAACTCTTACACATCGAGCTTCCATTGCAAACCTTAGATCATCTCCTCAGGATGAGTAAGTTATTTCTGGCAACTATCTCTATAAAGCAAGTTTAACTGCTTGATCACCCTGGATACCACTTTGGCACCTCACTAAATTACTGTGCAGTCCCCAGAAGCCTAATGGGGAGTCAGTGCTTCTCAAGTGTCCAGGCACATGCCCAAGAGGTGGCCAGAGTCCAGCTACAGCACCCAGCAGAGGGTGCTGAAGCTGAAATTACTACACCCTGCAAAATAAAAGGTAGATGGGTGCTAAGCTCGGGAAATATCTCTTTTCCCACTTATTCTCCTGCCAAAAAGGTGTATACAACTATGAGTTTGAACGGGATTATGCAGTGGTAATCTAATATTCTTTATTAAGCATCTTTTTATCTATATATGGAGTTACTGGGTCTCTTCCAGTTAGAAACCTACAACTTAAAAGCAGTCCAATTCAAAACTATAGAGAACCAAAGAATTAAAAGTTGTGCTCCTTTTCTGCTGTTTCTTCTGAAAGTAATTATTCAGTGCTGTGTTCCACAATCAGTTCTGAAATATTTTCATTTCCTAAGGCTACCATTTTATATACCCCCCAATCCAATCTAACAAACTATTTCCAGTTTCTTACTGGAGAACTGAGAAGGCTAAATGGACAAGTGCCATGGCCAACTAAACAGCAAGAGGGAACTGAACTGACACGTTTGTGTGCAGCAGAAGCGTCAGTTATAAGGTAAGGAAGCTCTCATCCCTTCTTTTTCATTTCTCCCCTCTTCTGATTGGAAACCTAATTTCCCCACATCTCCAGTGCCTTCTATGTATGGCAGAGGTTTCCATTCTCCTTGCCATGCACAGTTGGCACCTCAGCAGTTAAAGTGCATAAAGTGTGGAGTTGAAGGAAAAAGAAAACCTGCCCTCCCTGAGGCCATGGTGCCACAGCACACACTGCTCCTACTGCGACAGACGGGCTCTGTGAGTTGTGAGCAAAATCCTCACTTCTTGTCCTTTGGGTTAAGGCCATGTGTAAGCGAAATGAGCACCAATAATACTGCTTTTAAAGATTTCCATTAACGTGATAGGGGGAGGTGGGAAGCAATAGTTAAATTGCATTAAATGCCCACCTATCCTACTTGGATGGGGGAAAAAATCATTGCTGTTTTAGAAAGAGGGCCATTATGTTTCCGGTTATGAAAAGTAATAAGTGCTCATTTCATAAAACTCAGGAAATACAGAGTATGGAAAAGAAAACAAAAATCATTCATAATTTTACCATGCAGAGATAATCACTATTAATGTCTTTGTATATATACTTCTAGACTTTCTAAAAAGAGGTCTTTTATATGTTGAAGAAAGAAAGAATAATTGCATTCAAGGCAGAACAAACCATCAGCCACCACAGGCACTCAGAGGCAGCCAGGCTGGTAGAGAAGAGCAAGGGCCATGGAGTCAGGCAGACCTGGTTCAAATCCAGCTCTAACACTTGTACATAATACATGAGAAGCACTTACCTTAACAGCATGGCACGTGGAAAGTATACAGTAGATTAGGGGGAAGGGGACAGGGAGCAAGAGCAATAAACAATATTTGAGCATGTTGTTTGGTATCCATAATCCATGATTCATCACTGATGCAACGAGCTCAAAATGAAGAATGTGGTCTCTTTAGATATCCAAGTCTTGAGTAAGGTGCAGCATTAAGTCAGGGAGAGAGGATGGCCAAAGCAAAAACTATAGAACTGAATTATAAACTAATTGTATGTTAATGCCTCCTACATCTATCACCTATATTACTAATCCAAGCCTTTCTCCTAAGCTCTGAATTCATTTTCCTCACTGCCTATAAGAGGACATCTTCTCTTGGATGTCCCACAGCCATACTGAACTCAACAGGCACAAACTGAACTTACTTTATGTGAACCTGCATCTTCTCCTGTATTCCCTCTCTTAGAGAATGGCCAACAAATGGTTCACATCAGGAACCCCAAAGCTGGCCCATATTCCTTCTTTATACTAGTCAATCACCAAGTCCTGTCTGTTCTTCCACCTTAGCATTTGTTTGTCTTCATCATCTCCTATCTGGACTTTCTGAAACGGTGTCCTGAATTACTATTCCTGCATCCACTATCAAATTCTCAGTCCTCTCTTTTTACAAAAATCTGACCACATTGATCATCTCTTTAAAACCCACTAATAGGTTCCCATATGCTTACAGGAAAAAGTCCAAACTCAGTAACACTGCAGAGCTTTCGGTGACCTGGACCCTACTGATCTTCTCATCCTGCGGTGTAGTAACCCTCCCATCTACCGTGGCTTGGCCCCAGCTGTGAGAAGAGCCTACACATTCACATCATGCACTAGAACCACAGCAGACATTGGAAACAAATGGCAAGCAAGAGCAGGTGAGCCCAGGCTTTGCGGAACATATAGTCTACTGGAAGTGAGAGCCATAAACCAAAAAATTTATACATAAATGCAAGACTATAATTAATGTAAAGGTTAAAAAGGGTAGAATATAAGGCTCTGAGTGCCCATAATAGGGGATATGACCTGGCATGGGAGGTTACTAAAGGTTTCCCTGAGAACTCATATGGAGCTGACAGCTGAAGGAAGAACAGACATTAACTTGAC